AACCCTGCACATTCACGCGAGCGTCGAGTTCTTACTTAAAAACTTCGTGCGATGGACCTCGACCAAAAGCATATTCGCCATACCTTTCATAAGCATACCAATACACCACACTATACAATCAAATGCATCATTCCATCCGCTCCTAGACACGTCGCACTACTCACACCAGGGCACAAATTGGTAGATAAATGTATATCTTAATCAGATAGATTCGATATGGCATTTTATTTCTACGTTTATGCATGTCTGTATTTGCTGCAATGCTTGCATTTATTGGGCTCGGGCTTGCGAGCACCAATTTTCCATACAATACCGCGAGCCGTCCGAGTACGATGAGTAGCCGCACTTGCTTGATGTAGCAACACATAATTGTACATCACTCCGTGCTCGCCATTACATTGGCCTATACGCTATCACCTCCTACTTGAAGTAATGGGTTATTGGAGTCCGTAACTGGCACATCAGCTACAACTTCTAATGCGCGCCTCGACACCTGTCTGAACGGTAGAACGTCGAATATTGCCGCACTCGCTGTACAACTTCCGCTGACTGGCGGTGTGCGCGCCAAAATATGTGTCTTTAGAGAACTCGACGCGCTTGCGGCTATGGTTCCTCCCACACTCGAGCAAATGTAAGATCCAACAAGGCTTGCTCTAGGCCGTCTGGTCATGTGGTTTTTCTTTATCGGGGTGTTCGCACACTTCCTGAATATGTGGTAAAGACACATAAGCTGCCGGAATAGTATGATTTATTCTTATATTCAGTTGCCATAGGACTATTCTTCCCCGGACAGTTCTATGTAGACCGGTGCTATGCATATGATGACGAGAGGGAGTATCGGTGGTAATGGATTACGTTATTACATAGGTAAGGGAGGGTTAGTAATAGTATGGGGATCAATGTATGTGACATATAGTATGTCTGATATGTATAGTTACTTATATAATTATAAAAACGTTAAATATATAACTATAATAACTATATATATTATATATATATATATATATATATAATATATATATATATACTAATATTATATATATATCTAGTATATAAGGACACCACAGCACTATCGTGGTTTGGTGTGTGTGGACTACACGATCATCACGCTGATCGACACAGCATGGTTTGTGCGGTGTGTGGTACAGTGTGCTACACACTGGTGTGTGTGTGGTGTGTGTGTGGATTGTGGTGGTGGGTGGCTGCACACTACATCGACAACACACATGTGTCAGTGAGTTCCCTTAGACAGTTCCTGAATTCACTGGTTGATGTATAGGATATTATCAAAAGAGCCAATTGGTTCAGTACTGCTGTCAAAAAAGGCATCACAAAGATTTAACTATGGCGCATGAATTGATCGATGGTTATCAGTTTCAAGATGTGGCAGTATACGGTATAGCTCACCACTCTCATTGTGTTCATTATTTTTATAGATTATTACAGTTAGATATATTGTGTGGTAGATCATGTACTAGCAGTGATGGTGATGATTGAGGATTCGCTACGTACATAAGACAGGGACACGACCATTCTTTCTTACTTACATTGATTACATTGATTTAACGCAACATTCTGAATCTTTGATGTTTTATCATGACCTTGGACACCGATATCCCTTTTGTCTTATAACATCGTGATTTTACACTGAATTTAACCAACATTGCGAAATCTTTTGAGATGTTGCTCATTATACCTTTGGACCCATTCCTTGTCTTAACATGGTATTACACTGCGATTTACGATAGACGATTCAGTGTAATCGTTGGATGTTGTCATTATACCGTATGGCGATCGCCTGAAGTGTCAATGCATAAATACCTGTACTTCTATGGTGATAAAAACTCGAACAGCTTTGGTTAGAAACACACCGTCGGTGATTAGGGGAGCCTAACTAGAGATAGTATTTATGTAGTGATACCATTAAATTCCTCAAAACGTCTATTCTCGAAATAAATTATTATTCGTTCTGTGTATTCTGACCAGTGCATCGCTATTCTGCGCCTATGAAATGTACATTTTCCGGAAACGCAGCATCTCGCTTGGCAGGTGTTCTCTACCAATCTGTTCGACTTTTCCTAGGATCGTCACAAACGAGAGCTCTGCGTGGTCGAAACGTGGTCACAGGAGCCCCCTTACGTAGTATAATAATGTATTCTCAGCAACAAAGAACGCAAGATTTCCATTACACACTAACATTTGACACATTCGACACTATCATATACAATTATCGCCGCAATGTTGTGCTCGTTAACCTTCAATGATGTATTATGGGTCGAGTGGTTAGTTGCCAAAATCTGTTTGTGCTGTACGTGTGGCACGACTCCGTAGCTCAGACGTTGCTTTCTGACTACCTCAGTTCGTCCATACGTCAAAGTTTCCCCTACATCAGGGCATAGGCGGTACGGTCAGCGGAAACGTACGAACTACGGCTTCGCAAGCAACAACACGATATCGGACGAGGAGCGTGTAAGTATGATATCATCGTGTTCAATAAGTTACGTTGAAGACTTGCGTCCTTTGTCTCCTTTACCACTGCCAACTTCGCACAAGCCTCCTTTAGTGCTTCTCTTTGTAATATCTTACGAGTAAACAAATTCAAAGTGACGTGTTTCTTGTGCTAACAAACTTGTATAAGCTACATGCATGGATACACTATATCATAGCATAACAATATGTATCAGGTATACCTATTATTATTCTTAAATTCGGTCCTCTCATTACTATACTGTCATATATATATATATCATACTAATATATTATATATATATATAGCTCATCATCATACATATATATACTTATAGTAGTATATACTGATAACTCAATAATGAATATATATACATATGTACTTATCCTATATATCCTACCTATATATACAGCATCACAATTATACTCTATAATTACATATTATATATATACATATATTATATACATAACATCACATATATATATAATATATATACTATACTATATCTATATATATCCTAAATATATCTATCTTATGTACTCGAAAGAGAGATGAGAGAGAGACCGAAGAGAGAGAGATACATACATATACATATATATGTACATATACATAAATGTGTGACTATATATCACACATCATTTACAATACATACATACATACATATAGATATGATACATAGCATATTCACACATATATGTATATTATCATGTAGCATATACATATACTTATATACATATAGTATACTAAATGTATACAAATCCATATCATGTATATATTATACCTAGATTACATCCCACATACCACAGATATGTACTATAATATGTATATATATATATACTACTATTCTACCATCATATACTAATACTATATACTATATATATGATATCCAAACATAATGTATTATAATATATATACACACACATACACAGATATGTATATATAATATGTATATAGATATATCATATATATTATTAATATATATAATATATATATATTGTGGTGTGTGTGTGTGGTGTGTGTGTGTGTGTGTATGTTATAGTATGATACCTTTATACAGATATAATTCATTACACACACACACACACACATATGTATAATCTATAATATATATATATATCTATATACTATATGTATTATATGTATGTATGGTATGTATATATATTATGTATACTATCATATGTATATACATATAACACACACACCACACCACACACACACATCACACACCACACACACACACACACACATATATATATATATATATATATATATATATATTGAGTGGGTCTTAGAGCCGATACACACACCCCCATCACTTATCACTTCTGCCACTTCAAATGGTCCTCTCCATTTAGTCTGTAGTTTTCAAGTGATATCTCGTTCAAATATTTCATTTTTACAACACAAACGCACCTATTTCAAGCTTTACGGTATGTCGTCCATATTTCTTCTGAGCCACGTAGTTTTGTCAGTCTGTTAGAACGAGGAACTAGTGGTAATTTTTCAGTCTAGCTTCTATCGTTTCCTTCACAGTCGTGCGCACTTTTGCCACATTATCACTGTCTGGTTCAGTTTGTGGTAAGCGTCTACAATCTGCTAAACGGGGTGGCGCTCTCCCAAATATTTCCCAAATATTTTCAGTGGTCCTATGAGTAGCCCTATTCAATCCATATTTAATTCATGTATTTCTGACGAAGATATAATCGAAACCGGTTAAATACATCTCTTGTATTGTGAAGATATTCGTTCTCATTCATACCTTTCCACATATACATACTTGTTTAATCTCATATTTTTGACTGCATCCTATAACCCAGGTCTTAAGCTGGTTGACCGTCTTCTGTAAATAGAATTCTAGAAAATGTATCGTTTTTTTACATAAAGAAATATGTAAGGGATCATTGTCAAATGCTATTTTATAAAGGGCCATGTGTGTTTTCCAAAACTTTTTAATTTCTAGTTTTATCACAAAATGTATGTTTGACCGTTCGGCTACCATGAGGACTACTGTGGTAAAATAAATGGAATTAAATAGCATTATGTGTTCTTGGATCGCCCCAGCATCTCGGGAAAAAAGAAGCGAAACGTATGTTGTTACAATAAATATATATATATATATATATATATATATATATATATATATATATATATATATATAAACATTTATATGTATATACATATAAATGTATATATATATATACATATGCATGTGTATATATATGTATGTGTACTCATAGATATACACACAAATATCCGAATGAAAAGAAAAAAAAATCCACTTCCAAGTCAAGGAGAAATTTTTGGTACTGCCGAGAAGATTCGACAAGTATATTATTTTCTTTCTAACTTCTCTATTATGGATGGATTTTTTTTTTTTTTAAATCTCAGAACAATACCATGAAATTGCTGTCAGTATAATGTCCATAATTTCCAATTGTGAAGTGAGCATTTTATTCCTGTTCAAATCATATTATTTCATTTTTTATTGGGTTGAATGGTCTAGTCAACATAAGGGAAAGTTGAATAAATTAGATTTGTTCTTAATACATTTATTATTAAAATAATACACGTTTTTTTCTTAAGGCAAAACAATGACCAAGTAGGTCGATATTCCTTCTAAAAGTAGTTTCCAGATTATTTATATCTTAGACGTAATCAAATATTTTTGGATTATGACATATCTCTCCATTCTTCAGATTTCACTCGTTATTTCATCTTAGCGAGGTTTTTCTCCGGTATTTTTTGACGCTGAAGTTGGCTGTATTCTAGCTTTTAAAGGTGGCATATCTGGAACCACAAAAGAAGCCAAGCTGTCTGCATTTCTGACACATTTCTTGTGGGTGGGGCCGGATCTCCTTCTTTGGCTCCTCGGATTTCTCGTGCTTGACCTGTCGGTGAAACCAGAATTGCTTTACATTGGTTTTGTTCAGTACAGGGCCGGGTCCAGAGAATTTTCTGGTGGGGGGCAACACACTAAATCTGGGCGGCCGCCCAAAAGTAACAAAAATTAAGGCTGCCCACTTCAATATTTATATTGTACAGTTACACATTGTTTATGTTTTCATCTTGCTGTGTGTGAATTATATATTAATATATTATATATATATATATTATATATATATATATATATATATATATATAATAATACATATATATATATATATATATATACATATATATCATAAATCAATATTTAAATATTATATATTAATAAATAAATGGGCAGTGACCATTGGGGGGCCCACGGGGTGGCCAATCAGATTGCAAGGGGGGGGGGAGGTGCCCCTCCGTGCCATCGTGGAATCCCAACTCTGGTTCAATAAGGCAATGTATAAATAGCACACTAATGCTGGGTACCCCTCTCTCTGTTTACACACACACACATTATGAAAATCTATCTGTAAGTATATATATAATATATTATATATATATATATATATAATTATATATATATATATAATATATATATATAATATTATATATATATATATATATATATATAAATATATATATATAATATAATATATATATATACATATATATATATATATATATATATATATATATATATATATATATAAATATATATATATAAATATAAATATATATATATATATATATATAATATATATATATATATATATATATATATATATATATAATATATATATAATTATATATTATAATATATATATTATATATAATATATTATATATATATTATATATATATATATATATATATATATATATATATATATATATATATATATATATATATATATATATATATATATATATATATATATATATATATATATATATATATATATATATATAATATATATATTATATATAATATATATAATATATATATATATATAATATATATATATATATATATATATATATATATATATATATATATATATATATATATATATATATATATATATATATATATATATATATATATATATATATATATATATATAATATAATTATATATATAATATAATATATATATATATATATACATTTACATATATATATATATATATTATATATATATATATATATATATATATATATATATATATACATATATATATAACCATAATATTTATATGTATTATGTATGCACGCGCACGCGCACGCACACGCACACACAAACACATTTAGATACATATATGAATATATATACAAATGCATATATATATAAACATACATACATATATATATATATATATATATATATATATATATATATATATATTATACTTACATGCATATATATATATATATACACACAGTGCTATACATGCATACTCACACACAGAAAAGATATATGTATCGATGTACCGGTATTGCATCTGACAATTCTGAGTCTTGATGTCCATCAGTAAAGACCAATTATCTCAAATAAAAATATAAATAATTCTTTTGACACAAAAGTTACGTGCATGCGTAGTAAATAAAGGGTATATAGGAGACGAAATCAGTTTAATTTAGAAAAATATCTTGTATATACTAGTATCTGGATGTATAATTCTGCATTCGTATTGTTGTCAGTCCATAAACGAAAAAGAACATGCTCTAAAAGGGTCTTTAGTTTTTCGTTTATAGAGTCCATTAGAATGAAGGAACATTCTCGAAACCTCTTTTCGTTTTTCGTTTATTGAACAGGCGCTTCTCACAACTGAAATCGGCGTCTTTTTAATGCGGATTCCCAATGACTACAATTAACTGCAATTTTAGAGTTAAGTAGCGCATTGTTGCACTAACACAAATGTGCATGCCTGCTCACATACATTTACATGTCACACTTATACGATGTTTTGGAGTCGTAACTGACAAGTGGCTTAACTTCTAATGTCCCAACCTGCTTGTACGGATAAACGTTGGTGTTGCAGGATTTACACCGCTGATTGCAGTTGGCCCAGCTATTTGCAGAGAACCAACGTTTGCTGCATTTTCCGCACTCGAAAAACCCACAGGTTCTTCTGTTGCCTTGGTACGGGGTTTTATTTCCGGT